ACACACACACACACACACACACACACACACACGCACACTCACATTCTCACACACACACACACTCACTCACACACACACACACCCACACTCTCACAACACACACACACACACACACACTCTCACACACACACACACAGATCAATGGATCTGTCCTGACGCTCCAGGCTCTGTATGACCTCAGAAAGCAGGCGAGAGCAGCGTTTGATCAAACTAATGTGTGATGCTTATATAATGTGTGAGTGTGTGTGTGTGTGTTTACCCGACACGCCGCCGGACACATAGACGCCCATCATGAGTCCGGTGCTGAAGCCGATGTGGACAGTCAGCGGTTCCCCGAGAGTGTTTCTGCTCAACACCGTCTGAGCCACCGAGCCGCAGCCGAACAGCTGACACACACACACACACACACACACACAAACACACACACACACACACACACAGAGTAATTAGCAATCACTGATCAACAGCACCTCTGCACAATAGAGAATGAATCATTATATACATTTATAGCATGAACTGTGTTTGAGAGTCTGTGCAGAATAAAGCAGGGCTTCTGCAGGTCTGATGAACCTGTATTAGAAACACTTCAGATTTTGAACACACAACTTACAACCAATTTCCATTTCAATGCAAGAAGGAAAATCTGTTTTCATTCCCCTTTGTCATATACTCGTTCTTGTTTCCATCATAAACTCACTTCATTTTGTTCAATTTCTCAGAAAACAAGACTTGAATCTCGAAACTAAGTGAATGTATCTTGATTGAAGGATGTTTAGATATTTGTACTGGAAAACAAGACAGAAATGCTGAGGAAGAGATTCATTTTTTTGCAGTTCATGCAACATTTATTGCCTTACATTGCTTTATGAATTTAAGGCTTTCTGCTCTGATTTAAGATTTTTAGGGGCTTAACCTGAGGAACAGTGAAGATATGAACAGAATCTGAAGGATTGTAAGCATGCAGAAACTCACCACCAGCACAAAGGTCCCGAGGAACTCGGCCAGGAACTCTTTGAGGACGCTGTGTTTGATGGCGCAGTGCTGCTTCATGATGCTGCGAGTGTGTGATGGGACGGACGCTCCGCTGCATTAAAGCTGTGATGGGACGTCCAGCACACGCCATCGATCCGCCTCGCTACAGACGCACCTCTCACAAACATCAGCTCAAACTAGAGTCACTCACAAACTGCTGGAAAACCTCACAGTTCATTACAAAGAAGCAGCGAGAAACACTGAATCAAAGTGACATTTTAAATAGTATTTTCCTTTATACTCCAATAATCTTTGTTTTATTTACTACTTTGAAAATCACTTTTACAGTGTACATTTAACCACAACCACAGACATCACTTCAAAAATCAAAAATGTGCCATGGTATTATTACTATACTTTCTGAACACATATCATGCTGATACCACAGCATTCTTGGAAGCTACTTGAGGTACCTTATAAATAGTTATTTCAAATATACACTACTGTTTTGGGTAAGATTTAAAGAAATTAAAACTTTTATTTTTCAAGGACGCATTAAATTGATCAAAAGTGTCAATAAAGAAAGGTATAATGTTACAGAAGATTTCTATTTCAAATAAATGCTGTTCTTCTGAACTTTCTGTTCATCTGAGAATCCTGAAAAATACAATGCATCACAGTTTCCACAAAAATATTGTGCAGCACGACTGTGTTCAACATTGATAATAATCAGAAATGTTTCTCGAGCAGCAGATCAGCATATTATACTGATTTCTGAAGATCATGTGACACTGAAGACTGGAGGAATGATGCTGAAAATACAGCTGTGCATCACAGAAATACATTACACTTTAACAGATTCACACAGAAAACAGCTGTTTTACATTATAATAATATTTCACTGTTTTTACTGTATTTATGATTAAATAAATTCACCCTTAATGAGCAGTAGAAACTTCTTTCAGCCCCAAACTTTTAAATGTATACCATGGTAATCATGGTGTGTGTGTGTGTGTATTTAATATTATATATATATATCCTGTATATATACAGTGGTGGCCAAAATCATTAGAACACTAATATTATCAGCAGCTAAAAATGGTTTTGAGTCAGTTATTTCTATCTTTTGCTGTAGTGTGTCAGTAGGAAATAACAGTTTTTGCATTAATTGTAATAATGCAGTGAGATATATGTTAGTGCTGCACACAGAGCTCTGATCTGATCATCATCAGTCTGTCTGGAGTCACGTGAAGAAACAGAACAAACTGAGACAGACTCAATCCAGAAGAACGGTGTCTCCGAGACGCTTTGAGAAACCTCCTGCAAAGCTACAGTGCTGTTAAACATTTGAGGCACTTGTGTAAAAATGCAGTCAAAAATAAAGTCATAAATAGATTTTCTTGATCAATTAACTTCTATTACCTAAATGAAATCAACATCTGGTGTAAGCATCTTTGTGTTTTACAGCTTTTGCCCTCGGTGCACTTGAGCAGAGTTTCTCAGGAGCTTCGCAGGAGGCTGTCATGTGACCAGCGGCGTCACTACTGTAAAACCATAATCCATCACTGCTCGTTTTATTAACCTCATTAGTGAAGGTGTAGTTGTGAAGACACGGGTGGATGATGAATTACTGGAGTTACATGTTCAGCAGTTCATTCACGTCTAATGTCACATCAGTCTCATCTTCATCATCTTCATCTTCATCAGCTGGAGTCAAGAACATCGGCATTTGCAGTTCTGGCAACCACGTCTGGCTTTTATAATCACACTCAAAACGAAACATATAAAAACTACATTACAATCTGCAAAACAGCAGCATTCGACTATTCTCGTATGGCTGTGTCTGACTGAACTATGTGTGTGTGTGAGAGAGTGAGTGAGCGAGTGTGTGTGTGAGTGAGTGTGTGTGAGTGTGTGTGTGTGTTAGCTAGCGCCGCCCTTCTGTCCTTAAGACCATTCACCTCCTCCAGAGGAGCTGCAAACTCCAACTATTCAACACGCACCGATCAGTCGAGCACCGATTACTGGAACAACTCACAAACGATAACCACAGGACTAGCATATGGAGTGATTTAACACACTAGACTAAATAAATATATATAATGAAACTTTAAAATATGTCATGGCATGATGAAATAAAATACAATGAAACAGAAATAACTATTTAATTATGCTTACATTTATTGATTGCAACATTTCATTACATATTGATTTGCTTTATGTTGTCTGCTTTTTTCATTTCACATTTCATTCGTTTTTTGCATTTCATGTCCTTTCATATTTTACATAAATACAAAAACAAATGTTCTTTATGCCTTATTTTTTATTCATGCTTATATTTAATCATACTTAGTGCAATATGCCATTATGTTTTTAATTATTTCATTATATATATATTTATTTAATATAGTCTGTTAAAGCCTTACCAGCAGTTGCTACAATGAAACTGTAGAAATTAGTTTTTTAAAAACAAGAAACAAACACTGTTTGCAAACACAGATCCCATATTCAGTAAGAGCAGCTGTAGTTTGACGGAAGCTCGGGGTTACTGTGGTAAATGTCTGCTCACCTCCTCCAGCGCTCTGAACTTCAGCATGTGGATCTGGTCAAACATCAGCTCCACCCTCCGCCTGATAACAGCTTCACCCTCACAGGACCTGAGTGAAACCAGCCGCAGAGACACAGCTAAAGTCACTTACACTCACTCCAAACCGGCTGAACAATAATTCATTTGGTGACAGAAAGCTGGTTTGACTTTGAATCACCTTTTCTGGAGCGTCAGCACATCTGTGTTTATTTCTTCTGAGGCAGAACAAACAAAGTCCTGCAGGTTTGGAGCAACATGAGGCCGAGTAAATGATGACAAACTAGCTGAACTACCGGTTTTAGTTCAAACCGTCACTCTGGTTCCTCAGGATGAGGAATGAACTCAGTTCTCCCTCAGGTTCATCTGATGTGCGGAGATGGAGGACAGAGTCTGAAGCGCATCTACAGTCATCCAGCTGAACAAACACCTCGCTAAGAGAGGAACGAGGAGGAGCGTTCATCAGGAGAACGCATGAGACTTTTGTATCATGATATCTAATATATGGCATGCAGCGTAATGCTGAATGATTATCATATTCATATACTCAGTGTTGGGAAGCTACTAGTTACATGTCACTAAATTACAAAATAAAAGTAATCGTATTCAGTAACAGTTACTGAGAAAAATGTGTAATTAAATTACAGTTACGTATGAAAATGTTAACGATTAAAAAGGGGGTTACATCTGAATAGTTTCTCATGCATACATATTAGTTAGAATGGTTAGAATGAACTGTTTTTCCAAGGCTTTGTTAGATGCCAGTGTTTCTGTCATAGCTGTGCGGATATTTGATTTCAAAAGCAGCATAATACTATTTCGTGTTATGGTTTTAAATCTGTATTTAACCTCAGAATGATCTCAAAGTAACATGAAGTTATTATAATCTTATAATCAAGTGACGAAGGATTCTGAAAGTCTGATAGTATTCAGTGTTGGGTAATACTGTATCTGCCTGCTTTAAATATTTCAACATTATTATCAGCTGAAAACATTAGACATTTAGAAATGTAATCAAATGTAATCAGTTACATTACATTAATAAAGTAATTGAAATAGTTGCACTCATTACATTTTAAATAGGGTGACTTGTAATCTGCCTATACTACAGTATTTTATTTATACAGAATCTCATGTGTTTCTCATGTGCATGTAGCAGACTCACAGATTTCTGTACGTGAAGCAGGAACATTCGCCCTAAAGCAGCTGGTTCTCGCCCGTCTTTTAGGTAGTTAACCATCACCAGTTTAGCGGTTCCTCGTCAGGATGATCCGGAAGCTCTCGCTGTGCTTTCAGAAGATCAGGCGTGGAACGACTCGTGAATCAGTTCAGATGAATCAAACACATTCCCTTGACTCCTGGTGTTTGCGGTCTCTACCTGTCCACTGCCGTTCTCCTCCGTGACCTCTGACCTCTCCTGCTGCCCTGCAGATGTGACCTGTGACCGCCGACCTCCGCTCCCGATCCCCGTCCCACCTGGACGATAAAACGATATGAAGAGTTCGATAAATGTTCGATTTAATGTTTATGCGTTTTCTTTGTGATTAAGCTATAGCATTTGTGCATTAATACAAATTTAGATTACTGTTTTTCATACAAATACCTAAAAACCGTAGTTTCTAGTTACATAGTAACACTTTCACCATGGTATTGAGGTGCTCTCTGTGTGGTTTTAACTCAACTCAAGCTAAGAGACAAACACGTGTATTATTATCACTACTGCAGGCTGGACACAGACTGAGGCTCCGTGAGGAAGACGTCTGGATGCTCGGGTCTGGCCTCTGATCCCAAACGATCCCGAAGCCCCCGGAGGCCGAGAGCGTCCAGCGCCGAAGCACTCCATCTAGAGAACAAGCACTGATCAGTCCAGACTGATGGAGAACCCTGACATCAGCGTGAGAACAATGAGTGTTCATCACAGCAGGATCTGTTCTGACACACAGCTACAGACTCACCACAACACAAAACTAAAATAACTTTATTTACCACATTTTATAACAATTTCAGGTTCAGCTCCCTTCTGAGTACACATTTGTCCTTGAAATATGGTGAAGTAGGTACAAACACACACACACACACACCTCACAAATATATAACACACACACACACACTCTCACACACACACACACACACACTCTCACACACACACACACACACAC